GGCCAGGTGCTTCATGGGCAGAGGCAGGAAAGAAATCCCTGTACCCCTCTGTGCAGTCACACCCAGGCTTCCCAGCACCATATGTCAGACCAGGTATGGGGGCAACAGATGCAGCATACCTGCACAGGTAAAGTCGGGGCAACTGAGCAGGTTACCTGCATAAGTGCAGTGAAAGCAAATGTTTTGTGATTCCTCTGTACTTCTACTATAAGCAGAACCTACCAAGAGAAAAAGCTTAGACACCCCCCACAGCTGTGCACACCTAAGGATAGGGCAACAGCCAGGGGCATTTCTCCCCCCTGATTCAGTTGTAGTATCCACCAGGGATCAAGCAGGAGTGGATCATGCCTGGAGATGGGTAACATTCCTCTCAGCTGGGGTGCTTGAAGGATAAAAGGAGAGCAGAACACACTGGGCTTGGTGGCACACACCTATAATCCCAGCAGCTCAGAAGGCTGAGGCAGGAGGCTCAAGAATTCAAAGCCAGCCTCAGCAAAAAGCAAGGCCCTAAGCACTCAGTGAGACCCTGTCTCTAAATAAAATACAAAATAGGGCTGGGGAATGTGGTTCAGTGGCTAAGTGCTCCTGAACTCAATCCTCAGTACCAGAGAGAGAGAGAGAGAGAGAGAGAGAGAGAGAGAGAGAGAGTGCAATACAAGGCGGCATAGAGCAAAGACTCTTTTCAGACCTTCTTTGGTGTGCATCTTGGAGCATGACTACATTTGGAGCTGCAGTAATATTGTTTAAAACTGCCCCAACACCCCTCTGTGGGTAGGGGAACAATAGACTCTCAGAGCTGTTTATCCACCTTGTTATTTGGTAGGCACCCTTGCATGGTTCTGGGAGAAGGGTGGCAGGAACTATGCAGGTAACTTCATTTAGTCCTGGCAAACATATGAAACCGAAGAGGCCAAGTTCCTGGCCTCAGAGGGCACACTCCCCATCCCCCAATTCTTATAGAGGGCACCCCCCTGTTCCCCTCCACATCATAGCACCCATTCCCCATTGAGTAGTGCTCTCAGCAATTGGTGTCCGCCACTCCACCAAGCCAAGTCTAGTTCATGAGGAAGTCACCCCCTGAGACAATGCAGTGGAATGTCTGTGGGATCCTAGAAATGAGAATATTGCAGCAGTTTCTGACTCCTAAAGCAGTCCAAATTCAGACACTAGGTCCCTTCTCAAGATGGCTTCTATCTGCGGCACCCTTGGTTCACTGGGAGATAAAGTGAATTCCTTTTCCAAAGCCAGACTACTGTAAAGATCTCAGTACTATTGTATATTTAGGCTGTAAGACTGCCAGGGCCATGAAACTTTGCCAGTATCTGAACTGATAGAGTTTGCTGGAACTTTTTTACCTTCATTCCTTCAAAGGGGAGATTAACCCTCCTCCAGACCAGAATGTCAGATGATGAGATATTTTCTCTTGCTATACTGCCATCTCAGGTCTCTGGACTTAACAAGGTTTCCATCTTTCTATGTTGAATTCCAGTGTTCCCCTGTCGCCTCAGTCTTCACGTATACACCTGCTGCTTTAGTTCTTCCTTGTGAAAAAGCAAATGAATGCTGGGTACCTCTATTCAGCCATCTTCCCCCCCACCACCTGCTGTTGTCTCAGGAATTTGCTTTTCAATATGTATTTCTATTGTATAAACTTGTATAAGTTCTTATTTTCTACCAGTAACGCAAAGTGACTTCATGAAATAATCATTTGGTGTTATGTATCTTCATTACCTTTTTACTGCCTCTTTGTCAATGATTGGCATTTGTTATGTTGGCTTTTGCAGAAAATTATCTCTAACTCTGATTTCCTCAAAGGCATATAAAGGTCTTGTGAGAATTAACAAGGTAGTGCAAGGAACACTGGATTGGGAGTTGGAAGACTCCAAAGTGGGTCCCCAATTTTTGTATTTTCTTGGATTTTTCTATTTGTATTTCTCTCTCCCTTTCTGGAAAAAAAATGTGTAATGACTCTTAAATCCCAGGGTCTTTTGAAGTATGATAAGTGCCCTCTTACAAATATGAGTATTTACAGAGAAATTTTAAAACTTATAGAAGGGTATCTCTTAGGTGACTTTTTCTAGATGATTCCAGTCATCATATCCCTGAGAACATTTAAGCAGCCCAATGATCAGACAGCAAAGAATCCTGACATCCTGCCAATAGCAAACACCAACTTGTAATTATGCATCTTTGTTTTTGTGCTGACGGGGATTGAACCCAGGGCCATGTGCATGCAAGGCAAGCACTGTACCAACTGAGCTATATCTCTAGCCTAATCAACTTACAATCATATGATTGTGTCATCTTGGCAGCAGATTCTCCAGCCCCAGTCAATCCTTTAGCCAATGACTTCTACAACCTCATGAGAGACTCTAAGCCAGAATAACTCAGTTAATCAATTCTTCGATTTTTAATTCACAGAAACTGTGTGAGATAATGAGTATTTATTGATTTAATTCTCAATGTTATTTGTTATGTAACAATTTATAACTGGTATAGTCTTTAGAACCTAGACGCAGAGGGCTGCTATAACAAAAACCTAAAATGTCGAATAAGCTTTGGAACCAGGCAGTGGGCATAAGTTGAGAAGACTCAGAAGAGATGGTTGAGTTTTAAATGATTATCAAAAATCTCATAGCCTTCATGAGAGCTTCAAGGAAAATATAAGAAATATTATAAGACAACGGAGAAAATGGGTCCTTGTCATAGTGGCAGAAGTTTAGCAATAGTGTCACCCATGTAAAGTGAAAAATTAGAAAATGTATCCAACAAATTGAATAATGTTGCTAAAGACATTTCCTGGCAGAATTCTCAATGCTGACCATTTTTGCTGCTCATAGTAAAATGCAAGAGAAAATAAAGCGGTTAAAGTAATGACTTCCAAATAAAGATGAGTTAGGAATTGCTGGTTTTGAAAATCCACAGCCTCTTCAGATGGAAAATGATGCTAAATCAAGTAATAGGTTCCAAGTGAAGATCAAATCAGGAAATCATACTACAAAGATAAAACCAAAGGAATGGTTGCAAATTTCTTTGATATATTTCAGAAATAAGCAAGGAAGTGCCTTGGAGAACTGTTAAGTCAATGAGACTTATAAGAACCTTAAGGCATTATCCTCAGTAGCTACAGCAGAATACCAAGATATAAAAGGATTCATCTCAAAGACATGTGAGTATAGTTGTATAGTAGCAAAAACTCCAATAAGGCTCTTAAAAACCCACAAAGTTTTTCAAAGAATGACACTGGAAAAAGAAAAAACAATGACATTGGCAGAAACATTGCCAAATTAAGTTTAAAGGGGAAATACATTACAAATATATTTTACAAAGGAAAAGCAGGCTTTAGTTCCCAAAACTTTTACAGGCAGGAAGTAGGCTCCAAAAACTACTCAGCTATAAATTTGGCCCACTGTACATGGTGGACAGAGGACAGAACAAAGAGCCACAATGAATCTTTCTTACGAGCTTGACTCCTAATCAGCAAACTACCAGCATATTCTCTATTGAATTTTAAAAGTTCTGTTTACCAGTGGTTTATTGGTGCTTCCCCTTCTATTTTTCCATTTTCCACTTTTTTAAATGGCAGTGACATTTTTTAAATGTCATCCTATGTGTACCCTGCCCTTGTATTGTGGGGACATGGAGGATAAATAACTTGTATATTTAGTTCAAAGATTTCACATCAAAATCAACTGAATCTTTACCTGTACCTAATATATACATGTATCTAATTAAACAATGAGATCTGAGATTTTTCAATGATGCTGTAATTGTATGAGACATTGGGATGTATTGGAAGGTGGTGAGTATATTTTCATGTGGGAGGAAAATGAAATATTAGGGTCCACAGGGTGGGCTATGGCAGCCAATCTCTAAGATGGCCCCAACATCTTTGCCCCATAGTATTCATGATCTTGTGTTTACTGCCACATTGAATAGAGCTGACCTACGTAACCAATAAGATGTTGTAGAAATAATGGTGTGTAACTTCTGAAGCTGTACCATGAAAGACACTTCTTCTAGGGTCACTGGCTCTTAGAATAGCCACAATATGATGAGGATAGATAGTCAAGTGGACTTATAAAGATTGTGTGGTGAGGTACAGAGGACTCCTGCCAGTATTCAGCACCAAATTGCTGACCATGTGAGTTACGTATTTTGAAAATGAAACTCGACTGCAACTTCATGAGAGATCCAGAACTAGAACTACCTTCTCAAGCTGCATCTGAATTCCCAACCCAACAGAAATGGATATTTAAAAAGCATGTTGATTTAAGTCACTAAATATTGGGATGGTTTGTTACATGGCAATAGATTACTAGCACCAGAAAGGTAAATTGTTATAGTATAATCAAGTAAAGATTACATTTGAGAAGGATGAAATGGTTATTAAATAAATCAAGGACAGTTTGGAGGGGGGCTTAGAAATTGGTTACCTTGAATTGATAACCAAGTGGTTATAATTTACTAAATTCACATACATATTTGTTTTTATATGATATACCTCACAATTTTAAAAAGACTAAAGAAAAGTCTGCAGAAGTAACAATTTCTTCTGTTTTGTTTGCAGTATAAAATGTTGATGATAGAATAATTATTTTCATGATGATTGATACATTTTGAACTCCTAGAATTCCCAAGACAGAATTCTGTTTCATATGTTATAAATATAATAACAGCCCCCAAAGAAGCCACAATAGGAGGTAACTTGCTGGATGTTGCATGTTGGTTAAGAGGCAGAACTGATTAGAGCACAGAGTATGATCATTCTTTATGTTCTTCACATTCTGAGTTCCTGCCTCTGAGCACAATGCATAGTTCCTGTTTTCATAGTCACTCTCACCATCAAATAATTGAGATGTTTAGGATCTTGATGTCCTCTTCCCAAAAGCAAGAAATGGGTCTAGGTTGGGACAAGTTTCCAAATAAGCATTAGCAGAATGAAAACACAATGGGTATGAAGAATTCCTGGAACACTAAATGTTGCTCTTGCTCTCTAGGGCACTATGATCTGGTCAAGCCCAGTACAGCAGTTCAATATCACCAATTTGGAGACCCTCCCTCAGATGCATCTAGCGATCACTGCAGATATGGAGAAAACTATCAAAGTGTGGAACTGTCGTGACAGGGATCCTCTGGCTACCTGAGCCATGGCTCAAATCTGTTTTTCTTTGAATGCTTTTCTCACAAAGGATGGGGGTGCACAAAATGAAATTCTTGCTGCTGCTTTGAAGACATTGAGGTCCTATTACTGTCATATCTCGATCTGTCTTCTTCCCTAGGAGTTGATCACAAAATACCAATGATTTTTGACCATAAAAACCTCCATTCCATTTTGACTTTTGACCTATCTCACGTATATTTCCCCAGCCATAATTCTATGGGGAAAATAAAGTCCCTGAATTCTGTTGTATCTATGTCTCTTCTTTCAGTGTACATTGTTGTCCATGAACTTGGGCAGGGACAGTGGAGGGTAAGATGTGAATTTTGGCAAACATTGAGAAGAAAACAGTGCCAAAGTGCCTACAAATAACTGTCCTTGGCAAGAGTGTTTGGGGGCTTAGGAAATTCTATTCCATAGTATGATCCCAACAATTTTGGGAGGCAAGCTGATCAGAAGTTTGGATCTCCAATAAGTGATTGAAGAAATGGCAGTATATATTGAGTACTTTAGGATATCACATCTTTTTCTGTTGACATGGTGGTGATGCTTTGGTTGCAGGTGGGTGATTCTGATGGTAACATCCACATATTTACAATACCTGAGTTAAGGGATATTTCTGAAGTCCATGCATTTCAACATAGCATTGATATTCTACACTGCTATCCTGACAAGAAATGAGTCTTTGCATGTGGGATACATCAACATATTTTTTCAAAGGTAGGTGCTGTTCTGTAAACTTCAAGTTTAGGATAGGAGGGTCAAGCATTAGGAAGATCAAGTTGGGAAGTATCTGAGGAACTGCAGGGTCAGCAAGGAATTGGCATAGTGCTCCCTCCTCTCTAAGAAGAATCCGTTCATAAGCAGAATCTGCTCAAATAGTCAGAAAACAGTATTTCTTTAAGCAATAGTATCCAGTTGCAGTGACAAATGTTTATTAATGGAAATATGTTCATGAAACCTAAAGGAAAGTGAAAGGGAGATCCAAAAAAAAAAGGAGGGGCTGGGATTGTGGCTCAGCAGTAGAGCGCTCGCCTAGCAGGGCAGGACCCGGGTTCGATCCTCAGCACCACATAAAAATGAAGGCATTGTGTTGTGTCCATCTACACCTAAAAATAATAATTTTTTTAAAAAGTATCTTTAGTGAGTTTGTTCACTTTTGCTTTCCAAATTTTTATCTACCTTGGTTAGAAAGTAGAGAAGTCCAAGAAGAAACCTATGTGTGTCTCTTAAAGTTACCCTAAGGAAGTCTTTGGCCTCTGAGCAGGCCATCTGTAGCATGGCACCTTGACTAGTTTTCCAAGAAGGGAAAATTGATATAACCATCTCATTTTGATCAGGAATCCAATGTGGCAAGATGATTTTGTAACCCTTCAACCTTGCATCAAGGACTCCATTCTATCTGTGAACATCCTGGTAAGATAAGAAGACAGTGAGCTCCTCTTTATACTTTGGAATAGAAGCAGTAATTGTTTAACCTTTCCTAAGAGGCAGAACAGAGCTTTGGGCATAGGAGGAGAACTCTTACAGTGGCTTGTCTGGAGTCCCTCCTATACTGAGGATTCTCTATCTTCCCCCTTCACCTGATTTCATGTGTAATACTCTCTCCTTAGATTTTTTTCACAGAGTGTTTATTGAGACCATCAGAACGTAGCACACCCCTGTATTTCACTCTCCCATTTGCATCATGCAACAGAGGCTGCTGGACTCCAAGGAGAGAAAACAGGATAACACTGATGTACCGGAGAGGTTCCCACAAAAAAAAAAAAAAAAAAACCAGGATTTACCACTTTTGATCGAACAACAGAAAGCCCTGAGGGTTAAAAAGTCATCCCAGGTAGACTATGCAACATTAGAAATACTTGTTTCTATTCCTTATTCTGCATGCACTCCTATTAAGCTACAAATAGATATGAAGAGGTTGGTCTGTGTAAAGGGACCAGAGAATTTACTTAGCTGGATGTGACCCCGTGACTATTTAACTCTTATTCATGCTGATCTCTTAAGTCACCCTGCTCTCTGGGGAAGAAACATTTTAATTTCTATTATGTTCTAGGGCCTGGGTTCCAATGCACACTTCCAGTAAAGGCTTCTTTTCAATGTTTAAGCTATTATGTGTTGTCCATAATCTTCTGTTCCTATGTCAGGGTACCTATTATCATGGTCAGTGACATGGATTTGTCAGGCCACTTCATTGTCCTCACTGGACTGGAGTCCCATGGAAGTAGGAAGTATTTTTTTTTTTTTACTCAATGCAAGGTTATCTGTCTTATTCCTTAAGAATAAAACATTTAGGGTCACTTCCGGTGAACTGGGCTGCACAAAATAACCATACATGAGATAGAGATACCTTTTTCTTTGGGGTCCTGTGATGGTTCCTCTGACCTTAAAGGTTTGCAGAAAGAACTCAAGTAAGCACGTGCTGACCCCTTTTATTGAGGAGAAGCCATTCAAATGAAGCAAGGGGTCAGGTTTCAGGGGGTTGAGTCTAGCTTCATGATGTCTGCTGTCAGCAGATTGACATCTAGGAAGGCCATACCCAAAGGCAGAGCAAGAAAAGGGGACACATAAAGGGCATTTCCATGGAATATTCTATCCCAAACAGGGCAAAGGGGTAATATCACAAAGGAATAGGTGAGTGTAGCTCAATCCACGGGGCAACACGCCTATGTCTGAAGACGCATTCTCAAACTTCCGAGACTGGGGCAACATCCAGGTCACTACAAGATGTAGTGATGGTCAGAGCCTCTCCACTCAGGGAAGGAGAATGATAAATCATTCAGATTGGCTGCCCACAGTTATTGTCCTAACTAAACAATTTGCCTATAATATGTATATGTGTGTGTGTGTGTGTTATATGAAAACAGCACATCAGATTGCAAGTTTCCTGTTGCCAGTTCATACAAACAGCCCTAATTGGATGGAAGTCAGTGATGGAAGTATTATTGTCATTGAGAGTGGGCCATACCTGTTCCTCTTCATCATTAATGGCCTCATGCTAGAATGATGTGAGGGCCACCAGAGCATCATCAGGAACATATGGGTGGTACATACGTTGCTTCTTTCCCTTTTTTTTTTCCTTCCCATGTCGGGGATTGAACCCAGGGCCTCACTCTGCCACTGAGCTGTATCCTAGTCCCTTTCCCTATTTTTTGATCTGAGCTTGACTCATTTTCCATTCACTCTCAGGTGTCCTTTGAAGGATTCTCTCCATGTCCTTGCAGCATCCATGGATTGTTCTTTACATGAGTATATGTGGGAAGAGGGAGGCTATTACCCATATCTCAAGAAGTGCTGTCACCTGGAATACCTGGGGAACAGTCTGACACCAAGCTGGTAAGCCCTGTTTTGTGACAGACTTTTCTTGTGAATTTTTATTTCTATATAAAAATAAATGAAAGGATAATAGGTTTTTGGAATTCTTTGTAGATAAGTATATGAATAAACTTATAATTGGAAAAAGAATTGCTGGGGTTGTAGCTCAGTGGCAGAGCCCTTGCCTAGCGTGTGTGAGGCAGTGGTTTTGATCCTCAGCACTACATAATAAATAAATTAAATAAAGGTATTGTGTCCATCTATAAATAAAAAAATTTAAAGAGAGAATTGGTAGTTCTTGGAGTCACGGTACTTGCAATAGACATAAAAAGACTTTCCAAAATGGCACTCAATTTTTATTTCCACAAGCAGTAAGTGGAAGATAGGATACTCAATATCCTATTTTACCTGCAAGATTTGGGCCTTTTATTTTTTTAAGTTTATTAGTCATTTGTGTTGCCTCTTTGTGAGCTGCCTTTACTTCCACTTTGCTATTTTCCTTTTGGAGTGCTTGTCTTCAACAAAGATGTCTCCTTAAAATTTTACACATTGCCAGGCACAGTGGTGCATGCCTGTAATCCCAATGGCTCTGGAGGCTGAGGGAGGAGGATTGTGAGTTCAAAGCCAGCCTCAGCAATGGCAAGGTGCTAAGCAACCCAGTGAGACCCTGTCTCTAAATAAAATACAAAATAGAGCTGGGGATGTGGCTCAGTGGTTGAGTGCCCCTGAGTTCAATCCTTAGTACCCAAATAAATAAATAAATAGTAGTCTCAATATTTTTCATTACTAGTATGTAGAAATACAAGTGTCTTTTATATATTAATTTCATCCTGCAAACTTGCTAAACTTATTTATTCTTTATTCTAACAGGGTTTCTTTTGGTTTATTCTTTGTGGGGGACAGATTTTTGGAGGGGTTTTGTTTGTTTTGTTCTGCTTTTTTGTGGTACTGGAGATTAAACCTAAGGGTATGCTACCTCTGAGCTAGACCCCTATCCTTTTTATTTTTTATTTTGAGACATTGTCTTGGTAAGATACTGAGGCTGGTCTTGAACTTTTGATCCTCCTGGCTTATCCTCCTTTGTCACTGGGATTACAAGTATCTGCCACTGTTTCCAACATCTAATATATTTCATTTCTATTTGCAGACAAATTATGGGAAGTTTCTAGGTAGACAATCATATTATATTAATAGAGACTATTTTCTTCCATTCCAACATGTGCATTTACTCCCTAATCCTACTTTATACTGCATGGCTATAACCTTCAGCACAATGTTGGAGTAGATAAAAAAGTGTTCAGTCTTTAACCATTATTATATTCACCATATTTTTGTAGATGCCACTTATTGGATTAAGGAAGTTCTCTAGTATCCTAGTTTGCTGAGAATTTTGTCATGAATAAATGTTTAACTTTTCCAAATGCTTTCCTCACATAAATTGTGATAAGCATACGGGTTTTCTTCTTTAGATTATTGGTAGGGTGAATTATATTAATTAACTTCCTTTTGTTTTGATCAGGACATAAAACTTTATTTTTAAATCCATGATTCACAAATAATTGTATATATTATGTATGTCTTCATGTATGTATACATTTGTATATAATTAAATCAAACTAATTAACATATCCATCACCTCACATAATTTTTTGAGATGAGAACATTTAAAATCTACTTTTGGAAATTTGCAAAGAATTAATTACTACTAACTGTAGACATCAATAGTGCACCAAAGATCTCCAAAATTTATTCCTGTCTAAAACTTTGTACGTTTTGACTACATTTTCCCATTCCCCTTCTGCACCCCACACTCAATTGCCATTCTACTCTCTACTTCAATGAGTTCAGTTTTGTTCTAGATTCTATATATAATTGAAATCAAACAGTATTTGTCTTTCTGTATCTGGTTTGTTTCACTTAACAAAAATAATTTCACATAGTGATTCATCCATGCTGATTCTTCTTGGAGTCACAGCACTTGCAATAGACATGAAAAGACATCAAAATAATGACAAATGTCCTTATTTTCCTGAATAGTATTCCATATATATATCACATTTTCTTCCTTTATCCATTGATGTACACTTAGGTTTATCCCATATTTCGGATATTGTGAAGAATGTCTCAATGAACAAGGGAGTACTGGTATCTCTTTGACATACTTATCTCCATTCCTTTGGATATATACCCAGAAGTAGATTATTATATCATATAGTAAATCTATTTTTAATGTTTTGAGGAACTTCCATACTGTTTTCCACAATAATGTACCAATTTACAGTTTCAACCAACACTTTACAAGTGTTCGCTTTTCTCCACATCTTTGTCAACACTTGTTATCTTTAGTCTTTTTGACAATAGCCATTCTAACAAATGTGAGGTGATACTTGTAGTTTTAATTTCCATTTCTTTGATGCAAAATATTAAGCATTTTTTCTTATATTTGTTAGCTATTTATATATGTGTTTTGGGGATAGGTCTATTCAGGTCATTTGCCCCTGTTTTTTATAGGGTGATTTATTTTCTTATTGAGTTATTTCAGCTCTATTATCTATTTGGATATTAGTCACTTATCTGATATATAATTTGCAAATATTTTCTTCCAATTTGTGTTTTTTTTCTCTTCACTCTGTTAATTATTTCCTTTGCTTTGCAGAAACTTTTCAGTTTGATGCAATACCATTTTTCAATTTTTGCTTTTATTGCCTCTGAGTTTGGAATTTTATCCAAGAAATCTCTGACCAGACCAATGTCATGGAGCTTTCACCCTTTATTTTCTTCTAGTAGAGTTTTACACTTTGGGGTTTTATATAAGGTGTGAGATAAAATCTAATTTCATTCTTCGGCATATGGATATCCAGGTTTCCCAATACTAATTATTAAAGAGCCTGTTCTTTCCCCATTCTGTGTTCTTGGCAACATTGTCAAAAATGAGGCAGGAGGATTGCGAGTTCAAAGTCAGCCTCAGCAATGGCAAGGCACTTAGCAACTCACTGAAACCCTGTCTCTAAATAAAATACAAATTAGGGTTCGGATGTGGCTCAGTGGTTGAGTGCCCCCGAGTTCAATCCCTGGTACCCTCGCAAAAAAGATTAACTAACCATAAATGTGTGAGCTTACTTCTGGGCTCTAAATACTACCTATTTCATTGATTGATGTGTCTTGTTTTTATGCCAGTACTATGATCTTTTGATTTCCAGATCTCTGTGTAATGTATTTTGAAACAGTATTGTCACATCTCCAGATTTGTTCTTTTTGGTCAAGATGGCTTTGACTACTGAGAAATCCATTGTCATTCAAATCTGTCATTCTATAAAATGTGCTATTCTCTGATTTATTTTCTTTGTCTTTAGTTTTCAGAGACTTGATTATGATGTTTTTAGTGTGAATTTCTTAAGAGTTTAACGTGTTTGGGTTTGATCAGCTTTTTGAATCTGTAGACTTACCAGTTTGGGGATTTTTCTTTTTTATTTGTTTGTTTTGTTTGTGCTGGAGACTGAACCTAGGGTCTTGTGAATGCGATGTATGAGGTCTAGCACTGAACTGTACCCCAGCTCCTTAGGAAGTTATTACTTGTCTATGCATACTCGAGAGAAAGGGGATACCACTTCTACTTACCATAGTACAAAAGTGGTCAACAAGGCTGTAACCCCATGAGCAGATTGGGATTGCTACTCCTTCAGATGATACTCAGTATAACTTGGCTGGATCTATGCAGTTACTCAATATTTAAGAGTATGATTAAAGAACCAATTGGGAGAAATACTTATAGTTTTGTTGGATTCTAATTTAATATCAACAATGGATATATCTAGTTTCCATTTCACCCATTGATCTTGTTTCTTCTGCCAGCAGCCAGGTCTCCCGGGCAATATGTGATAACATGAGCATAGTACACGTGGTGTCAAGAGCTCATGAATCCAACATTCTAGTGATAAATATTTTGAATGTGTAACATGGAAACCAATGGAATTAATTTTGCATCCTCATCCTTCTCCTTGATGTAGTAAAGATAATTCTGTTTGCAAGACCAGAATGATGATTTAAATGCTATTAAGAAATGGTTATATATATAGTGAATTAGACTCATGACAGATGTTATGAACAGGCGCTATACAGATAGAGTGTGGAGCAAAACATCCTTTAGAATGCAAATAAGGTAATAAAATGCAAATAGTCATAGACACACAATTCCAAACAATTCAAGGGGAATATGTTATGGGGAAGATTTTCAACTGTAAACTTAGATTGACACAGATTCCTTCACTTTTAAATCAGCCTCAATCCATATTCTTGCCTATAAACAATCACACACAAAAAAAAAAAAACCTTGTCAAATCTGAGCCAAAAAACAATGTGTTAAAAAGACATAGAAGTTAATATTTAATGACCTACCTGACAGCTGTTCAAAGTAGATATGATGGGCTGGGGCTGAGGCTCAACAGTAAAGAACTTATCTAGCACGCATGAGGCATTTGGTTGATCCTCAGCACCACATAAAAATAAAAGTATTCATCTACAAATTTATTTATTTATTTATTTATTTATTTATTTATTTATTTAGAGGCACTGTCTCAAAATAAAGAATCCCTTGTGTGTGTGTGTGTGTGTGTGTGTGTGTGCATAAAACAAATGTGACCCCACTAAGAATGTCATTTATCATAAAGGCAGATGGTTTGTCTTTTAAAAAAA